TCACATAAAACAGTCTTGTGTATTACTTCTCGATCTTTAACAAAGAACATGTAATTGCCACTGACATTCCCGACTCTATTTTACCTTTTCCAATCTTTCTGGGCTTGGCATTTGTTCTGACAGCCGTTTTGCTTCTTGTTCTAATGTTAAAAGCATATTTCGCTCTTTTAGCAGGACATACCTGAGAAAGAGAATTTATTAGCAAGTTACACTACATTGTTAGACAGGATAATGATTCCCAATAAGAAATGGGAGATAGGTTTAGGATAGGAGACAGATTATATTGTTAAAACTTATAAGGATTAAATATAATACTTGAAACACACAAATATTCTTCTTGGAAAAATGTGTTCTTGTTTCTATCATTGTGGAACCCAATTTTTATTTTTTGATTGAGTTATCCAATGAGAATAGCTAAGCTAAGTTTCATCTTAGTGCTTTTATACTGAGCTACAACTGATCACATATTTTAATTAAACGCAAATAAAATGGTACTGCCACACAGCAATATTAACTGAAATATCAATATAATGGTAATCATATTAGTCACATAAGAAAATTATTCTTATTAGATGCAGCTGAACTTTGTTGTGCATTCATTGCAGAATGTGAAATTCTGCTAGCCATCATCACCTGCTGCTTTTAGAACATCGTTCTCCCTCTGAGTTGCTCAAAGATGCAATGACAGGAGAAGCCACACCAGGTAGAATTTCCCCACTAGTTTAACTTTCAGATCTACCAGCCCTCTGCCTGCATTAGCTCCTTCTTCTAGCCTTCTCCTTCCTTCCAATCCACCACTTATGTCCCTTCCCTCCTATTTTCATATCTCTTTACTTCTATGTCTCCACTATTTGTAATTTCCTTATATTCCTGTCCTATGGATTCTTGCCTTTCTAAACGTTCTTCCTTCAGGCACATTTTACTCTTTATGTGCACTCCTTAGATATTTTTGCACTTCAGCATTTATGTTTCCTCACCCTTGTCCCTTTTCAACTTAAACCCTCTGCAATTTATATCTAATTTTCCTTGTTTTTCATCTTTTAAAAAAATTGTGGTTGTAAGTAGTCTTCAACTTATAACCACAATTAAGCCCAACATTTCTGTAGCTAAGTGAGACAGTTGAGTTTTGCCCCATTTTACAAGCTTTCTTGCCACAGTTGTTAAGTGAATCACTGTAGTTATTAAGTTAGTAACACAGTTGTAAAGTGAATCTGGCTTCCCCATTGAGTTTGCTTGTCAGAGGGTCGCAAAAGGTGATCATGTGGCTCCAGGACACTGCAACCGTCATAAATATGAGCCAGTGGCCAAGTATCCAAATTTTGATCACATGATCACGGGGATGCTGCAATAGTTGCAAGTATGAAAAACAGTCATGTCACTTTTTTTTCAGTGCCATTGTTAACTTCGAATGGTTACTAAATGAAAGATTGTAAGTTGAGGACTACCTGTATTGCCCATTCTGAAAGTTCTCCTATACTTCATGCCCTTTTCTCTTATCATTTTTGACTTAAAACCTGTGTAAAATCCCAGCCAAACGAATAATCTTTATTGACATATTTATTACGTTTAAAATGTGCTAGGACTTCAAGAGATGAAGCCAACATCCTTAGTTCTTTCTTCTTCAATTTTTTTTCCCATAGCAATCCCATGACATTGGTTGGGCTGAGAGGGAGTGTTCAACTCAGTCATCTGGTCACCTTTTGCAGCTAAGGATGGACTCAAACTGGATTTTCCTGGCCCTAGTCCAACCTCTGAGGTACTACACCACACAGTCTCTCCATTGACACTTCCCTCAAAAAATCTGAGCTATAAACTTCTAGTTTTTCTGAATATCTAGAGACATGACAAGAGCAAAGGCTATGTGGTTGCAAATGAAATCTAAAACGTATTTTTGAAATGGGTAAGCAGTTCTTCAAATAACTCGTCACAAGGAAAGGACAGGCCTCTTAAGTCATACAAAGAAACACTCACCAAAGCTTATGCAAATCGTCGCTGCTTTTGCCTCGAAGTTGTTCAACAGTCCAGGAATCTCCTGTGGAAACCACAAAGCAAAGCAGAGCAAGAACATTTTCCTGAAAGTCTCATGATCTTAAGACTATACTAATTTTTACTCTGTGCTGATTAAGTGGAAATAGCTAGTATTTTGGTAGCTATTCAAAGGTTTCCTTTTAAAAGCTGCATATTCTGAAATCTAGAGTCCAATACTACTTATATTTTATATCTCTTCTTCTGCTAAATAGGGGACTCTTTTCAGTTTGCTGTTTTTCTGTTGTTTTATTTAACTATTCTATATTATTTATAATTTAAAAGTCAACCTATTGTCAGCTTCCTTGGTTTTTATTGAAAACAGCACATTTTTCCCCATTATGAATTTTCAGAAACCACTTAGGCATTTGGCAGACAAACAATTATATATTTATGGCTTTGAACCACCATTTTAAAAGGAAACCTTGTTTTCTGGCAGGTGGAGCTACCCACTGAATATTGGTAATTGCACCTTTCACTAGAGCCACTCAAAACAAATCAACAAAAATAATTTATAACATACATTTTGCGTGGAGAACTTTAAAAAATGTAAAGCATATTAAAATCAGGAAGAGGGCTATGAAATTATTTAGGACAATTGTTGTTAGTTGCAAAGTCATGTCCGACCATCTTCTGGAGTCCATTTAAGCTGATGCCTACTGCTTCAGTGACTCCATCCAGCCACCTCATTCTCTGTCGTCCCTTTCTTCTCTTGCCCTCAATCTTTCCCAGCATTAGGCTCTTCTCCAGTGAGTCCTTCCTTCTCATTAGATGGCCAAAGTACTTGAGTTTCAACTTTAGGATCTGGCCTTCTAAAGAGCAGTCAGGGCAATATAGAACATTTTTACTTATGCATAAATAAATCCAAAACATACAATACAAATAGCTGTAATCCATTTTTTGATTTTTATTTAAAGGCATAATCTGACAATCAGACTAATGGCTGAAATATCCACTTTTGAAAAAAATGGATTCTATGAGCAGCAATTTTTACAAATTGACACTCAACATGCACTGTTGTTGAATCTCTTATAATACTACCTTGTTGTCTTATTTACAAGGGTATCTTACCTGATTTAACCTCCTTTCCCCAGTTTTTGGGGTCATCAAAAAATTCCTCCAACCCATTTCGAGATACTGATGTATGCAGCAACACAGAACGGGGACAAATTTTCACTTCTGTAAACTTTTTTGGCCAATCACCAATGATACCTCTGAACAAAAAAAGGTCAGAATTGTTTTAACAACATTTTAAGCATATAAAAATTCAGATTTGGTCCCAGAAGGGTTTTTTTCTCTCTCTTAAGCATGTACATTCAAAATACTTCTTTTGATAAAATACTATCTAGTTTCAGAAGCACCAATGGCGTTATTGTCAGTCACTTGGCTAAAAACTATTCTCTCTAGTTAAAAGTAAATTGTTCAGCTTTTACAGGTAGTTCTCGACTTACAACCACACCTGAGCCCAAAATTTCTGTCACTAAGCGAGGCAGTTGTTAAGTGAGTTTTGCCCCATTTCAAAACCTTTCTTGCCAGTTGTTAAATGAACCACTGCAGTTTTTAAGTTAGTAACACGGTGTAAAGTGGACTCCCCATTGACTTTGGTTGTCAGAAGGTTGCAAAAGGTGAGATCACATGACATTGCAACCGTCATAAATAAGAGTCAGTTGCCAATGTCTGAATTTTGATCACGTGACCACGGGGATGCTGCAACAGTTGTAAGAGTAAAAAACGGTCATAAGTCACTTTTTTCGGTGCCACTGTAAGTTTGAATGGTCATTAAACGAATGGTTGTTAAGTCGAGGACTACCTATACTTATTTAACTGAGGGAACCTGAATGGTTTTAAATAGTGGAACAACCTGCCTCCAGAAGCGGTGAATGCTCCAACACTGGAAGTTTTTAAGAAGAAACTGGACAGCCATTTGTCCGAAATGGTATAGGGCAGTGGTGGCGAACCTATGGCACATGTGCCAGAGGTGGCACGCGGAGCCCTCTATGTGGGCACGCATGCCGTTGCCCCAGTCCTGCCTCCCCACAACCCCCTCACCAGCAGCCTGCCTGGAGGAGAGGCTCCCCCCAGGCACAGCCCACACAGAGCAGCGCAGCCAAGCACATGGCAGCCGGGAAGCAGGGGCAAGACTCCACCCTCGCACCCCATCACGTGATGCTGTGGGGTGCGGGCAGAGGGCGTGGCTGCCATGGCGCTGCAAGGCTGCCTGGGCGATCTGTGGTGAGTGGCCTTGCAGGTGGGCGGAGTGGGGGGGGCAGAGTGGGGGCAGGCCGGTTTTTGGGCACTGAGTCTCTATAAGGTTCGCCATCACTGGTATAGGGTTACCTGAGTGAGCAGGGGGTTGGACTTGATGACCTCCAAGGTCCCTTCCAACTTTATTATTATTAATTGTTATTATTATTACTATTATTATTACTATTATTATTACGACGATGATGATGATTACTATTACTACTACTACTACTACTACTACTACTATTACTACTACTATTATTATTATTATTATTATTATTATTATTATTATTATTATTTAGAAGAACCATTTTTTTTCCCTAGCAAGCTCATACTTTCACGAGGTTTACATTATCAAGGCCTGTTTTCCAGAGAAGCTTCAATCCTATTATATGCACCTTCCTCAAAATGCATTTCCTGGCCAGGGAGCCTCCCCTCTTCGCCATCATTCGCAAGGACAGCACTTTCTCCTGCAAGGCCTCAAAGCCAATTTGCAACCCCGGCTCTTTCCCCGCTCGACAGGACCCCCACCTGGAGGCCGAAGCCGCCGCACCGCCTCGACTCGCGCCGGTCACCTGAAGCACCGAGGATAACCGTCGGCAAACCACCGTCAGCGCCATGACGCCTCCGCCGTCTTCCCATAAGGCCTTTCTTGGGACTTCGATGAAGCCTCTCTAGCGGTTTCCTTCTCGGTGGTCCTTTCTCACCGCCCACCGCCGCCCGGTGCAAAGATGGCGGCGGCGCGACTTCAGCAGTGAGCGCCGCGGCAAAGTACGACTGCGAGCTTCACGGCTCGCGGCTTTGCCCCATCCAGAGATGGCGGCCATGAGTCTCCTGCTGCGAACGGCGGCCAGGACCGGGGTCCGGCAGCCGCTGACCTTGTCCGCGTGGCTCGGGCGGACGGCCTTGCTGGGCCCCAGTGCCAGTCGCTCCGGAGTGATCGGTAGGGACGGGCTTGGGTGGCAGGAGATGCTCGGCGACTTCCCTTCCAATTGACCTTGGAAGCGGGCAGAGCTGGGAAGGATGTGAGATGCCCCTGAAGGTGGCGGGGGAGCGCCCTTCCTCTTGCAGGAGCTTCACCTGTTGAGTTTCTGCCTGTGGTGCAGTAGGATTGAAAACATGGGAGTGGGACTAGCCACAATCTCAGAAACGAAAGTGAGAGCCTGAGCCAACGTTGGTTTTCTAGCCCAGTGTTTCTCAACCTTGACAATTTTAAGGCATGTGGACTTCAATTCCCAGAATTCCACAGCCAGCATTGCTGGCTGTGGAATTCTGGGAGTTGAAGTCCACATGCCTTAAAATTGTCAAGGTTGAGAAACACTGTATCTAGCCCAACATCGGTTTATTTATTAGATTTCCACCCGCCTTTCCTTCGGGAGCTCATAATTTTTCTTCACAACAGCCTTGGCTGAGCTCCTGAGTCCTTGTCAAAATGCATTTTCTTTCAAAACTCTGCTCAGATTATAAGGAGCTGATGTTCCTGGCCCTGTTTCTTTTTAAATGTATATTATGAGTAAACAAAACTGACATTCAAGGTGGCCAAAGAAAGACAGATCTAGATGCCAACAAAATACAGGTAGTCCTCGATTTACAACGGTTCACTTAATGACTGTTTAAAGTTACAAGGCACTGAAAAAAAGTGACTTATTACCATTTTTCACACTTAGAACTTGCAGTATCCACATAGTAACGTGATCAAAAATCGGATGCTTAGCAACTGGTTCATATTTATGACGGTTGCAGTGTCCTAGGGTCATGTGATCACTTTTTGTGATCTGACAAGCAAAGTCAGCAGGGAAGTCAGATTCACTTAACAACCATATTACTAACTTAACAACTGCAGTGATTCACGTAACAAATATGGCAAGAAAGATCGTAGAATGGGGCAAAACTCAACGAGAGTCTCGCTTTTCAATAAATATTTGGTGTTCAATTTGGTCATAAGTTGAGGACTACCTGTATACTGTAAGCTTTACAACTTTGCTACTACCTAATGATTGTCTGTTGGCACCCCAGATCTAGTAACCCCAATATGACCATTCAAATTAAGAACCTTTTTTCTCATTCATGTGGAAAAGAATTGGATAGGTTCCCCTATTGCAGAATAGCTGTGTGTGAAAGGCATCCTGAAAAATAAGACAACAATATCAGAACTTTTTGCGTTCTGAAAAGATTGCAGAAATAACTGTTGACTTGTATTAAAATGTCAATTTAATTTTTCAGTTTCACTGCGCCATGCCAGCGACTTAAAAAAGATGTTTTACATCAAAGCAACACGGTTTTATGATAACCGGTTTCTGAGATTACTGGTAAGTTTAGGATTAAGGTCTGGAAAAAGAGCAGAGAGAGAAAAACCATTTTAGATGGCGTGAAGAGAAGTATAGTCTTCAAATCATAGGAATGACTAGTTTCACTTTATTCCATTTTTCTCCAGTATTATCTAATACTGGGCACCATACTTTAAGAAGGATTTGGAAAACTGGCCCAGATGCCGAGTGGACTGACAGAGGAGTAAAAATTAAATGTTGTGGAAAGAGGTTGAAGGAATTAGTAATGTTTTTCTAAGAAGGCTGAGGTAACAATAACGATACAGTACAACAGATTTGAAAGGACCATAGAGGTCCTCTAGTCCAACCCCTCTCCTCAGACCCTATACCAGGGGTCTTCAGGCATGCTGACTGAGGAATTCTGGGAGTTGAAGTCCACAAGTCATAAAAGGGCCAAATTTGAAGACTCCTGCCCTATACCATTTCAAACAAATGGCTGTCGAGTCTCAAAAACTTTCAATTGATGGAGCACCCACAGCTTCTCCAGGCAAGCCATTCCACTGATTGTTCTCACTGTCAGGCAGTTTCTCCTTAGTTCTAGTTTGGATCTCTCTTTGACAAGTTTCCCTCTGTTATTTCTTGTCCTGCCCTCAGGTGCTTTGGAGAAAAGGTTGACTCCATCCTCTCTGGCAGCTCCTCAAAGATTGGAAGACCGCTATCATGTCACCCCTAGTCCTTAATTAGCCTTTGTTAGACTAGACATGCCCAGTTCCTGCAACTGCATTTATTGTATGTTTCCATTCCCCTAATCATCTTTGTTGCTGTACTCTGCACTCTTTCTAGAGTCTCAGTGTCTTTAGAAAGAGTGTTATGTTATGGGGTTATTTTAGCTTTCTTCAAATACCTGAAATGTTGCACAAAATAAAGTTCTTTTCCCCCCTCTATAGGACACCCAAAATCATGCAAACCTAAAAAGCAGATTCCATATGTGTGTTAAGAAACCCTTTCACATAGAATAGTTTGATAGTGGATCTAATTATTCTGAGAAGTGATAAACTCTCCTTACTGGAGGTATTAAAGAGCAGACTAATTAGCCATTTGTCAGGGATATTTTAATTTAGATTCCTTTCTTGCTCTGGGGCCATAAATAAAATGAATGAAATGAATTTGGATTCCTATACTGAACCATACTTTCTAAGTGTTCCTAAAATCTTATTGCATTTAATCTTTCAGTGATCCTGAAAACTCAGGGAATTTTCTTGCATATAAGTCAGGGTGGGAGAAAAGTATACTAATAATAATTCAGCTGCTAGGTACATAAAGAGTGAAAAATTTGTGGGCTTGCTTTGTACTGACTTTGCTGTCTCCCCTCCTTTTTTTAAAAAAAACAGAATTGGTATGCTCTGTTAACTGGAATTCCGGTGCTGCTTATTGTAGCCTTTGTTAATATCTTTATTGGTAAGTACTACTGCACCTTAGAATCTTTTGTTCTGTTTTGTACTGCTGAATATTGCAGATAACTATATCATTTCTGAATGCTGTTTCAGTGATATTGGATTAATTCTGTTTTCCCTGGGCAAGACAAGAACCATCAGTTAAATGTCTATGGAGATTCTGTCATCCACATCATAGTTGTTCCAAAGGTGCTTTTTCCAAAAGACAACTGGACTTTCTTTTTTTTTTTCCCCTTTGAAAACATTTTGTCTCTCATCCAAGATGCTTCTTCAGTTCTACCTGACTGGTAGAGAATGAAAGGATTTATAGCGAAATATTTCCAAAGGCGGGGGACGGGGGGCGGGGAGAATCAAGAAAGTATGTGTGCCTTTGGGAGAGCCATCAGCACATTCATTTCCATTATGTATCCTCCAGATATATGGACTTCAAATCAATTCCCTTGGAATTTTAGAAATTTCAGTCGAATTAATTACCAGCTTGATGAGGACTGAGCTCCAGAATTTTTTTAAAAAGCCTCTGAGAAAAAGTTTCTTGATAGTTTTCTGCTTTTTCTTGATTTATGAAATTGATAATGGACTACATCATGTTGCATCTTTATGGCTCTCTTTATTATAATAAGGTTTGACTTAATTAAATCTATAACTTCTAGCTTTCTGGATGTATGTTCAAAGTGCTTTTTTATTTGTTTGCTTCTTTTTTATGCTGTGGCCTAAAGTTGCTTTCTTAATTACGTTCTATTGTGATATATCCTGATTATGAAATTCCCTTTTCCTTTGGATAATCTTGTCATTTTAATTTATTAGAAATGCTTTCAATTGTCTCCCTCTTTAGAATCATTTAAAAAAAAATATGAATTAAAATGATAACACAAAGATCATGATTGGCATGGTACAAAATGTGAATCGAAACATCAAAAGAAAGTATTGCATAATTTTTGATGTGTAAAAATACAAGATATGTTACATATTTTATTTTTAAATAGCTGTGGAAGCTATTCACCACTGAACGGTGAATAAATATGCATTCAATAGGAGTACAAATGTAGGATTTATTCTTCCGTTAGGCTGATAATAAATTGTGACTGGCAACATTTGTTGACTTCACGTTCTTCCATCAGTATCTTTTTTGCATGTCTGTTGCAGACTTAAACATAATGACCTTGTCTCTGCTTAGGTGAAGCTGAATTGGCTGAGATCCCAGAAGGTTATATTCCAGAGCATTGGGAGTATTATAAGGCAAGTACAAAACTTGGAAGAAAAAAATTTGTGAATTTTGTAAGTCAGTCTTAGGAGAATAAAGCTCTTGAAATTTAAATTTGGCAAATTTGTAATTGGTTTCATGTTTTTATTCTCCAATTTGCTGTATTGATTATGAAGAAATGTTATATGTCAACACTGCAACGAACCTGGCTGAAGCCATCTTGCTCGTTTTCGGTTGCCACAAGAATGGGGGTGGGCAGGGTGATGGAGTTTTTATGCTAGTCTAAACAATTCTCTGTCCCGTGGGAACCAAGGTCATTCCTTTTCGTTAGACTGGGGGCTGAGCATTATGTTAGAAAGCACACCAAACTATTCTATTCGGAAACGTAGTTGATTGCATGTGGGAAGTTTAACTTTGTAATATTGTAACTTTTGGGAGGGAACTTTAGTCTTGGTTTCACTTTTGACCATGCTGATACTTTGTAACCAATAAACATGTTCTTAGAGGAAAACTCAAGCCTCGGAGTTCTGTTTTAATTGGTCTCATCTATCGGAACCATCACATTATATTTAATTATGTGTATGCATGATATTGTTAAGAATCGTATTCACAACCGAATGAATTTCTAGAGAATCTGTTTTCACTTAAACCAAGAACCTAGCAACACCTCTGCATGGTGACATATGGCATATGAGAAATGTCAGAGGAAATATTGGAAGCTGACATTGGGGTGGTTCTGAAAAGCACTATAGTTAATGGAAGGTAGATTGCAGACTTTCGTTTTTCAAAGCTTTTGGACGTTGGTCCAACCAGTTGATGCCGGTAGCTTCCTTCTGCAAGCAAAATACAATAGCGGCGATCATAATTATTTTGTAATGCCTGCTTTGGTTTTCCTTCCAGCATCCTATAAGTCGGTGGATTGCACGTTACATCCATGATCCCCCTGAAAAGGAATACGAAAAGGGAATGGCTACGTTATATTTTGAATATGAAAAAAGGAAATTAAGGTAGGATAAACTAGAAATGTACCTGTGTTTTTTGTTTCTTAACAAAAATACTGAACAATTGTTTCAGGTGTGAGCTAGAAGCTGAGCACTGTTTTGTTTATTTAGTTACCACTTAACTTGTTTAATGCAGTTCCATCCCACCTTCCCTCTAGAACAGTGATGGTGAACCTTTTAGAGACCGAATGCCCAAACTGCAACCCAAAACCCACTTATGTATCATCGGGTGCCGGGTGGGTGTGGCCCATTGGGTGGGCATGGCCCATTGGGTGGGCATGGCTGTGATGGTAACAGCAGACTGGGTGGGACTAAAAAGTTCAATCAATCAATTCCAACTTTGAGAGAACTTTTTTTCCCCGCGAGAAGTTGAAATTGATTGATTGCTTGAACCTTTTTTTTTTTTTTGCACACGGTGGCAGAGGCCTAAAGCAAAAAAGTTTTATAAAACCCAGCTGAAGGCCTAGGACTGGGGTGACGGCTCGCGTGCCCACAGAGAGGGCTCTGAGTGCCGCCTCTGGCACGCGTGCCACAGGTTCGCCACCACCACTCTAGAAGCTCAAGACAATACATATGGGGAGGACCGAATATTAAATGATAAAGGGAACAATAGATGTCATCGTGTATTATATCATATTTTGCTTTTCCTATCATCCAGATATTCCTTCCCCCCCTTCCTTTCTTTCTGGGTAAAGAATACGGATATCATCATATTATCATCCTACAGTACAGGGAGTCCTCAATTTATGCCAAGTGAGCCCAACATTTCTACGGCTAAGTAAGATAGTTGTTAAGTGAGTTTTTGCCCCGTTTTCTTGCCATAGTGGTCAAGTGAATCATTGCAGTTGTTAAGTGAGTAACATGGTTGTTAAGTGAATCTGGATTCCCCATTGACTCTGCTTGCCAGAAGGTCACAAAAGGTGGACACGTGACCCCGGGACACTGCAACCGTCATAAATACATGCCGGTTGCCAAGAGTCTGAATTTTGATCACTTGGCCGTGTGGAAAAAACAAGTCATAAGTCCCTTTTTTCAGTATCGTGGTTACTTAAAATGGCCACTAAATGCTTGTAAGTTGCAGACTACCTGTTCTTTTCTTTCCCGATTAACCAACTCATTAAAGCAACCACATCTCTATTCAGACTGGAGAGGAAGCTGTCTGAAAGCCAGCCACGGGATAGAGTTTATCCCTTCCTGATAGATATGGAGCAGTAGGAAACCTTAAGTCTATAATTTAGTCTGGCTTCCCTCAGTTGGGTTGCTTTAAAGGGGCATGGCCTTTAGACCTTAGATTAGGGGTAGGCAACCTTGGCTCTTTTATGATTCGTGGACTTCAATTCCCAGAATTCCTGAGCCAGCTATGCTGAGGGGAAAGGCAGAGGTTTCCAAGCTGAGCCATGCTGGCTCAGGAATTCTGGGAGTTGAAGTCCAAAAGTCATAAAAGAGCCAAGGTTGCTTACCCCCTGCCTTAGATTTTTCAGCAATGGCCATGCTTCCTGTGGAATTCTGGGAGTGGAAGTCCATATGATTGGAGGTCAACCAGATTGGGGCAAGGAGCTTAGTAAAAGGAACACAGGTATCCGGTAGCACATAGTTTTCCATCTCTGCCTGTCAAGTTAAACACAGTCCATTTTCTGTGCTACTGAAATATAACCATGTGGCTGATGTTAGAAAAGATTATTTCAGAGTTTCTTTTTTCTCTTTCCTTTCCTTTAACAGGAAATTGGAAGCAGACGCAAATAAGCTGATGTTCCACAGGGGGGATGGACCGTGGCATCAATTTGAAGCCCCAGGCACGTCTACGATTGATTATTCTCCTAAAGCAAGACCTGATTTCTGAGCATTTCAGCTGGAATCTCCGGCAGGCATCCCTGCAGGGCAGTTAAAATGTGTAATGTATACCTAACTTAAATCAAAATGTGCGCTGCCCAGAATAGTCACAGAGTTGGGCGGCCTTACATGTGTAATTAAATAAATAAATGTTCTGATTCAGTAACCCCTTGTACTAGCTTGTATTAGCTGTAATCCTTCCCCCCCCCCATTTGCTGTATCTTTTTTATGTGTGTACTCCAGAATAAACCCCATTCGGTTCTATATAGTTCCCTACAGGCTTCTGATTTTATTTATATTCTGCCTTTCATTCCAGAGCACAAAGAGGCGTAGCTAGTCAGATAGGTTGGGCCAAGAGAATAACTGGCCCAGATCAACCAGCTGAATGACTTTGGGACTTCAAAAAAGTTATTTACAGTCCAACCTCAAGGATGTGACTGCGGCTCCTCTGGATAATGTGATTGGCCAGGAGGGCCATTGCGCAATTGCGGGTTGTGTGACAGTTATGCCCTTTTCTGGACCAACAATCCCTGCTCACAGTCACTCATGCCCTAGTGTTGCAACGTGCTCTACATGGGGCTGCCCTTGAAAAGCATCTGGAAGCTCCAATTGGTTCAAAATGTAGCAGTCCACGTGGTTTTGTACAGACTCAGGTGTGTGCCTTTTGTCACCTTTCCAGCCGGAGCTGCATTGGCTGACTATTTGCTTCCAGGTGCAAATCAAGGGGCTGGTTGTCATCTTTAAAGCCCTCCATCGCTTAGGACCGGGTTATCTGAGGCACCGTTTCTTCCGGGTTACATCCACCTGATCCACTTGAGCAGGGAGGCAAGGAAGCTACGTCTGGTGGGACCCCAAAGAAAGGCTTTATCCATGGTGCTTCCTTCCCTGTGGAATATCCCTGCAGAGATTAAACTGGACCCCACTTTGTAAGGCCTTGAAAACCTGGTTTTGCCAACAGGCCTTAGGAACCCAAAGTGTTATTTGCTTAATAACCATGGTCACTCACTTTATCATTATCATTAAAACGGTTGTAAAATCAAGTCTGGTCATGTGACAGACTGCTTAACAACCACAACAGCTTATAGATAGTCCTTGGTTTACAACCATTTGTTTAGTGACCATTTGAAATTACAAGGGCACTGAAAAATGTGACTTGTGACCGTGTTTCACACTTAAGACCGTTGCAGCCTCCCCACGTGGTCAAAATTCAGATGCTTGTTAGCCAGCTCATATTAATGACAGTTGCAGTGTCCCGGGGTCGTGTGATCCCCTTTTGCAACCTTCTGACCAGCAAAGTCAATGGGGAAGCCAGATTCACTTAACAACCGTGTTATTGACTTTACAACTGCAGTGATTCAATTTAACAACTGTGGCAAGAAAGTTTGTAAAATAGAGCAAAATTCACTCAACAACTGTCTTGCTTAGAAATAGAAATTTTGGGCTCAATTGTGGTTATAAGCTGAGGACCACCAGTGTTGATTTTGATGGCAAAAAACACGAACAATGTTGCTGTAGGATTGTATTTCATATCATTTTCATAAGTCCTAATATAGACAGTGTCCAACTATGAAATTTGGATAAACATAGGCCATGAATCCTTTTTTTATACCATACTCTACTCAGATCAGACCACTCAGCCTCTGCATCTTCAGAATCCAGTTAGCATAGATTTTGCTAGCTGGGAAATTTCAACAGCTTCAAATGGAAAGGACTAATTTGAAAAGATTCCCCCACATACTAAGTGCTTTTGAGATGTGAGCTCAGAAGCAACCTTCTTAAAAGGAAAACGGTACACACAGTTTTAACGTACTGTATTGCAAGCAGTAATGTACAGTACTCATTATCCCCAAAGGCTACATCATACAACCTGGATCATTTAAAAGCTTTTAAGATAAATAACCTACCTCAAATGTATGTCTGAGTTTTCAATTAGAAGCCAAAATTACTGCTCCAGCTGTATGTATTGTTTCTGATAGCTTGTAATACATTCACACAGCAAAAGCTACTCGCCTTTCTAATAAAAAGTGTATTGCACAAGAATAAAATCCTTGATTACTTCTTGGGGACTAAGATGTCCTGGAATAGCATGCACAATAAAAGCCTTCACACAACATACTTAACCAGGTTAGGTTAAAATCAGAATGCCAAATCCACTCCCAAATTGTTACATCTTACCTGACATTTTGAGAAGGGATTAGTGTCTGGCATGTAACGCCAACCCAACTGATTTATTTATTTATATCTCGCCTTTATTATTTTTACAAATAACCCAAGATGGCAAATACGGTATACCTAATACTCCATCTTCTTCCTCTTTTCCCCACAACAACCCTGTGAGGTGGGTTGAGCTAAGAGAAAGTGACTAGCCCAAAGTCACCCAGTTGGCTTTCGTGCTTAAGGAGGGATTTGAATTCATTGTCTCCCAGTTTCTAGCCTAGTGCCTTAACCACTCTTAGGCTCTCTTTTAGGGATTTAGGGCTCAGTATACCAACCCAGAAAAGAGTTTTACAAGATTCAGAGTATCTTGAATGCCCATATTGGAGAAGGTTGGGTAAAACATCCCTTAGTTTGCTCACTCCAGACATCAAACCAAGATGTACAAATAGTCCTCAACTTATGACCACAATTGAGCCCAGAGGGGTTTGTTGCTAAGTGAGACATTTGCCCCATTTTATTACTTTTCTTGCCACGGTTGTTAAGCAAATCTTTGGAGTTGTTAAATTAGTAACACGATTGTTAAGTGAATCTGGCTTCCCCATTAACTTTGCTTGCCAGAAGGTTGCAAAAGACGGTCACATGACCCCAGGACGCCGCAGCCGTCATAAATATGAACCAGTCGTCCAGCATTCGAATGTAAATCACGTGACCGTGGGGGAATGCTACAACGGCCGTTAGTGTGAAAAACGGTCATAAGTCACTTTTTCCCCCAGAGCCTTTGTATCTTCATACGGTCACTAAACCAACTGTTGTAAATCGACCAGACCTGTGTACTTGGCTTGGATAGGGCATGAATCCTGGCAAGTGGTAGGTAACTCCCGTCCTCCTCCACTCCAAGCTGGCGTAGGGTTGCCAGGTCTGCTTCCAAAAAATAGCGGACAAGGGGGGGGGGTTAAGTAGTAAAAAAAGTAGACTGGACAGCTTTAGATTACGTACCATTTCATCATAAAGCTTTTGAATAAAAAAAAAATGTCCACTATTTTGTGAAATGATGAGAGTGTTGCCAGGTGTCCACTATTTGAGTGGACAGTCCACTTTTTTCACATTATGTTCACTATTTTGTGAAAAAAAATAGTGAACATAATGTGAAAAAAGTGGACTGTCCACACAAATAGTGGACACCTGGCAACCCTAGGCCCACCGCCTAAGCTGGGTTAGCCTTTTGTGTGAACGGTGCGATCACACGCTCATCATTGCGTGCAACCCACTTCTCCTCACCCCTCTTTTGAAGGAGCCGCCCTGGAATTTCCCTTTTCCCCAAATACCCCCACCTGCCCCCACTTGTAAACTCTCCTCTTCAGATTTTTGGGCCGGGAGGAGGAGGAGGAGGAAGAAAGAGAGAGAGGGAGGGAGGGAGGGAGAGGGGAAGCTCCTGAGCACGTGCAGAGTATACTGTTCCTCTGGGAGGGCGGCGGCCCAACCGCCCAGCCCACCGTCCCTCACCGGGCGCGGTCTCCAGTCCAGGGCGCACGCCGGTCGGGCTCCCCGGGGCGGGAGGGGGCCGCTTTCGGAGAAGCAGCTGCGCCGCCGCGGCTCTGCCTTCCATTGGATTAAAAATAGCGTCTCTCCGCCCCTCCGGACGGGCCGGCCTCGGCTGCGCGCTTCTGCCCCTGTCCGCGTCTCTCTGCCCGGGCTCGGCCGACCGCTCGCGCCCCTGGCCAGCCAGCGCAGCTCTCGGGTCCGGCCGGCGGCGGGGAAGATGGAGCGGGCCGCGTTGTTCGCCCACGGGCGGGAAGCGCCGATGGCTGCCGGGGACGTGGGCGAGCTCTTGGTCCCCTACATGCCCACCATCCGGGTGCCCAAGACCGGCGATCGCGTCTACAAGACCGAGTGTGCCTTCTCCTACGACTCGCCCGTAAGTAGCGGTGGCTGCTGCTGCTGCTGCCCGGGCTTGCTTGCTTGCTTGCTTGCCAAGCCGGCTCCTCTCTTTCCCCGCAAGCCGGGATCCTGGCTCTGCGCGCTCCCACGTTCTCCCGCGACCCTCCATTCCCTCGCGCCCCTTTCACCCGCCGCCTGCCCGGCCTGGTTTCCCGCGGGGTCGCGCTCGCCCCATTGCGCGGCGGGGCTTTGGCCCGTTTCCCCCCACCTGTTCCTTCCCCTCTTGGGTTACATCTCCCCTCGTCCCCTGCGGATTTTGATGATCGCTGGGTTGATTCGTCTGAATGGGAGAAACTGGGCGTGCCTGTAGTTATCTCGCACCCCGATTTTCCGTGACTCCCCTAGAAGTGAAGTTGCCTCTAGTAGACGACCTATGTTTCTAGCTACTTTGTCTCTACGCCCAGCTAGGTGGCAGTGCCTAGCCAACGTCAGCTAAAGGGAGTTGGGATTTGGTTATGGAGGGCTTGGATAGGAGACCACAAGGAAATGTCCAGGTGGCAAGCTAGATTGGGAAGTTTAAAAAAAAAAAAGCACGAAAGAAAGTAATGGCAAACCAGTTCCATTCCAAATGGACAGATCTTTGAAGTTGCAAGTCCACTTTGCCGGGGGACCCCAAAAGTTGGACTTTTGAGCTGGTTACAGGCCTCTAAATAGATTCCTTCCTCCATATGCAAGTCGTTCCATTTTATTGGCAATATAGCCTAGTTCTGCTGATCAAGCCATTCAGCTGCCCTACTTATCTTTCCTTATTGGTAAGGAACTTCTGCCAGGCTAAACTCAAATGTGGAGTTCTTGGGTTGCCAGCTAGACCGGAAAAAGTCACATTTTTTTCTTAGCTTGTGTGCTCCTCACAGTGCAGTGTATTGAGCCAGATCTGCTAAAAGTATTTGTTGAAGTTAGCTGCCTTCACTCGGTACCTTAACTTTAGTATTGATCTTGATGAGTTTCTTTTTGTGAATTAGCACCTTGCTAACCAACTAATTTGATTCAGCATATGGTACAAACCTAGGGAATGAGTTAACAAAGTAACAAAGTTAAATGCGTTATATGAATACACCCGGTCAGTTTCTCAGCTTCTTAAATTACCATCCTATCAGCCCTTCTACTTCTCTGGCTAATAATGATTGTTTTGTCTCCACTTTCTTAATAGCTTTTCAAGCTGGTAAGCTAGTTCCTTCTGGTCTCTATTTGATTTAGCTGCACCACCTTAACCTGGTAAATTTCTGATTGTGTTGTGATAGACTGGATGTTGCCCTTTACTTATAAGAGGTAGTCCTCAACTTACAACCAGTCACTTAATGACTATTCAGAATTATGACAGACTTCCCCAGAGCTACTTATGACCCATTTTCAAAGTTAAGATGGCCACATGCACCCTCCCAGGTGGTCAACGTGACTCTATCTTGGGTGCTTAGCAAGCATCTCATCTTTATAGCTGTTTGCATTGTCCTGTGGTCATGTGACTATGATTTATGATGGGCTGGGTTTTTTTTTGTTTCTGGTGTTTACTTCTAGTTGCTGGCAAAAGTGCCCATTGGGGAAAATAGATTAACAACTGTAGTGTTTACTGAATGGCCACTGCAAAAGATGTAAAAAAAAAAAGTCTAGTCGTGTGGTGCCTTAATTTACGGCCACAATATCTTATGACCAGAATTCCATCCTCAATTATAGTCATAAATTGAGGACTATTTGTAGTTCCACAGGTGAAATATAGTGAGTTGCTATTTGATCCAATATTTTGCAAGGATGGGGGTGGGTGGGAATGACTGGTTGAGTTACAGATGTGCTTCTGCCTGCATTTCCTACAATCTGGAGAGTGAATTTAAAGTCAACAGGGTTGCAAACTTATCTTATATGATCTTGGTTCCAGATTGACCATCTGTTCTTTCTCGACTAAATCCGTTTTATTGTCCTACTTTTGAGGTCTGTGCTATAGATTTGCTCTTTCATCTTGTGAACGTACCCCTTCATTTTATCTATAGGGAAATTTGTTTTGATTTTCCTAAAGCTGAACAAAACACCGAGTTTAATTATAAATGGAGTTTTGATATTTAATAGTTTTGAGTACTGTATTGAGAATCAATTTTGGGGCAAGAACAAAGGAAAAAAACCTTTATTGCAATTCCTTATTTCCATTCCAGGGCAGAAATAAAGCGGTATTTAATTTTTTAGTAGATATTTGTGACTTTTAACTGCTTCTCTTTGAAGCTGAAAAGTAAGCTCTACTTTGCTGTATTAATTTAACCAGGTTCTCTTGAGTAACATAGTTTTCTGAGTTTATGCAATATTAAATGTGTTTGGCTAGCTTAATGCTTCTCAGCCTTGCCAACTTTAAGATGTGTGGACTTCAACTCCTAGAATTCCTAGCCAACGTTAAATTGAAGTCCATACATCTTAAAGTTGACAAGATTGAGAAACATTGCACTAGTTTGTTGTTCGCTCTGTTGTGTGAATATATCCTGTCATAAATCAGGTTTTTCTGTAAGGTTAAAGTTAACAGCTTGGGACAGATCTGGTGACTTGGATGCAGGATTCCTATCTCTCTCTCCCTTTCTCTAAAGTTTTACGAGGTCATCAAGTTTTCAGGCAAGATTGGTGATCTTTGAAGGCTTGTGTGAATTCTTAGTTTAGAATGAACTACAGTTTTCTCTTAGTCCTTAAACCAGTCCCCCACCTTCAGTTCATTGCCTCCATTTATTTGGCTCGTGCTCAATTTATTTATTTTTTAGTCTGCCTTTATTACTTTTATAAGTAACTCAAGGTGGCAAAAGTAACTAATACTCCCTTCTCCTACTTTCCCTATGGCAACATCCCTATGGGGTGGGTCAGGCTGAGAGAATGACTGGCCCAAAGTCATCCAGTCAGCTTTCATGTCTAAAACGGCACTAGAACTCACAGTCTCCTGGTTTCAAAATTGGCCCTTTAACAATTACACCAAGTTGGCTCAGTCTGAAGGAGTTCCCAACCTTTTCTCTTTGCCCAAACTAATATTTTTGTGATGTTCTTACGCTGCTACTCAGAGGGAAATGGCAAATAGTTCCACCTGCAGGCTGTTCGTGTGATAATTAAACTTGCAACTACTTGCTAGCTAGGAGGAGGAAAAGCATGGCAATTAGACTTGCAGCCACTTACATTTAGGAGCTACTGAACGTAACAGGGGCGATATATTTTATTTTAGGAGAGGTTGATGCACAAAAGTGTGATGCTCTTCTTGACGACTCTTCTAGGTTTAGCACATTGAGGTCACAAGTAGCCTGAGATTTTTGAAAGAAAGGCACACATTCTCCTTTTGATATTAGCTCAGACCGTTTTTTTACTTTTCCAGCTGTCACCCAGCACTGCAAAGTAGATACAACCCCCTTCCTTTTTTCACGTCGTCTGTTCCAAGTATGATCTTCTCATTTCAGCAATGGTCAGCTTCAGCTGAATAGAAGTGTGGGGCTTGGCTGTCTGGTGTCTCCCTCATTATTTGGGAGTAATGAATTCAGGACAGTTTTTTGTTTTGTTTTTCATTCTCTGGGGCTGACCTTCTGGCCCGGCCGTCTGTGACTCAGCAGAGCATTCTTTGTAGTGTTTAGTTTTATGTTGAACGGAGTGATTTACAAGCCCAATCTAATTCTAATTCATAAACATATAGATGTGTGCGTAAGACCATCTGTCCTTGCTACCAGGTTTACTTGTGTGTGCTTGCTCGGCTGAGTGGGTACATGCACACATTCATACATAAATTGTATTATAGTTCCTGTTTAACAGTTGCTGAATTGGTTACCAATAGGGTTTTGAGTCCAAATATTGGTTTTGATTTAGAAATGCCTGTATGGCTTCATCCTAGGACAGTGATGGCGAACCTTTTAGAGACTGAGTGCCCAAAAAATGGCCCCGGCCTCCCGTCCGCCCCCCGCTTTACCCCCACTCCTCCCCCACCCCACCCACCGTGCCAATGGCTGTCCCGCCCACTCCTAGCCCACCCCCAACCCTCCCGCCCTCCCCGCTCTCCCGCAGGGCTACTCACTGCTTCCATGGGCCACCGCAGATCGCCCAGGCGACCCAGCAGCACCGTGGGGGCCACACCGCCCGCACCCCGCAGCATCAACTGCTCACGAAGGGGTGTGAGGGCGGAGTCTTGTCCCCGCTGCCTGGCTGCTATGTCCTTGGCTGCGCTGCTCTGCGCAGGCCGCACTTGGGGGCGACTCTTCTCTGGGGGCCTGCTAGTGAGGAGGGGGCCGTGAGCAGAGGCAGTGCTGGGGCAACGGCGCAGGTGCCCACAGAGAGGGCTCTGAGTGCCACCTCTGTCACGCATGCCATAGGTTCGCCACCACTGTCCTAGGGCAACTTATTATTTATCTATCAAATTTATTGGTCATCCATCTTACCACAGGTAAGATAAAACTATATAAATAAAACACCACAAAATATAAAAATGCAACAGCTAAAAATGGGGAGGGAGGGAATATGATGAGCGGGGAGGGGTGTGTGATCGGATATTAATCTATCAACGTCCCACAACATGAAACTCCTTCTTGGGCACCCATTTAAGGGTCCTATCCCTGGGAGGAATCCAAGGAACATGAACCTAGACGCCGTCTTCTGCTGGGTTGATCCAGATGCTTTGGCATCGTTGGTCTCCAGAGATTCACCTTGGCACCTGCCCTGCTGGCATTTTGGAAGTCAGTCAAGATGGTTCCATTTGAACAGGCTTTGGGGAAATGATTGGATTAAATCCAGTTTTTAGTTTTCAGCCCAGGCAAGGAGTGAGACTTGTGATAGAATAATAGAATAATAACTTTATTGTCACTTTGAATGTACACTAATCGGCATACTTTAAAATGAAATTTCATTGCATTCAGCTCTCAAGGGGTCACCCCCTCCAATATACACTACATAAATATGACAAAAGTAAATGAATAAATACAGAATTATGCATATACCTACATATATTATATGACACAGAGAAACAACAGTCTAGTTCAGGTTATG